CCCTTTTACTTTCTGCCCTCCAAACATTCCCATATACTACTTCTTTGCTCTTTTTCAAATTCGTGACTTCTTTATTCTGTAAACTGCTATTACATATGCATATGCATTATACATAAATACATAAGCATAACTTGCTCAGTCTATGTAGAGTTAATTTATTTACGTTTTTGGCGGTGGTCATTTGAGATCAGATATCTAACAGGTGTGCTCTCTATAATTGAACTTAAAACCTGCCCAACAAGAGGGAAACCATGTTTGGTACTGGAAACCTAACCAACTAGCCAAAGCTAATGAAGTCGTGGATCTTGGAGGAGAACCTACAACTGTCATTTTACTAAACCATCATAATCCCTAACTGCATCCCAATTATTTGTCGTTAAACTTTAAGTGTAGTTCTTACTGATGATCAAGGAGACTGAGCCTGTTACAGGAAAACCACAACCAATCAAAATGCAGAGTTGTAGAGCCCAGTCCCAAAGGATATATCTGCAATACAACTCCCACGCCTAAGGCTCGGGGATCATCATGGAAGAAGGGGCAAAAAGATTGTAGGGAATATTGTAAAAGTCAGGGACTTTGTTGTGAGAATGTCTCCTAGGAATATCAGAACCTACCTTGTAAAGGCTCATCAGCACCAACACTCAAACAAGAGCTGAACAAGGACAACAATAGGCACACTAATGTGATATAATGGTGGTGGGGACCCAGCAGACTTCAACCCTACACAAAGAACTAGAGACAACTAAGGAGCACTGAGGGCAGGAGAAATAGTCATTCCCAGGGATGGTTTTCACTGTCAGTGTGACCCAATATAGATCACCTGGGAAGGGAGTCTCACTGATGAGTCCTGGAGATGGGTTATGCTGATGAGGGATTTTCTTACTGGGATTACAGAGATAGGAAGACCCACGCTGAGTGTGGGTAGTTCTGTGATCATGGCCTGGGCCCTGGGACTGAATGAAGAGGAGAGAGAGAGAGCTGGTTGAGCACTCCCGCATCATTTATGTTTTCTGTTCCTGAGGATGGATATGGTCTGAGCAACCTGCTCAAGTGCTGTCACAGTGATGTCCCAGCTGGGAAGGGCTCTAACCGGGAAATGTGGGTTAGTACAAATCTGCCCTCCCCTGAATAGTTTTGTCAGGATATTTTATCACAGCAACAGAAACCAAAACTAAGACAATATCTGGAGAGACTGAGTGATTGCCTATGTAATATCCTTGGTATATAAATAAGTTACACAAATAATAAGGAAGGGTAAGGATCACACCAGGAAAATAAATATGAACAGAAAGTTTTATGTGAATAACCAAAAGAAAAAAGAAAAAAAAAAAAAAAAAAAAAAAAAAAAAAAAAAAAAAAAAAAAGGAAAAATGCTAAATTCCAGGAGTGATTTAAAAATGTAAATAAATTGGCCTCATTCTTAATAAACAGAGGAAAACACTAAGGTCACCCACTGCTGCAAGCTCAGGGTACCTCTGCAACATCCCTGCACCATGGCATTCGGTCATAGTGATGCAAAAAGGTAAACAGACAAACAGAAACACAAAAAATGCTAGTGAGGTGGAAGGAATAAAAAACTCAAAAAGAAGCACAGGTGAAATCAAGAAACCAGGGCTTTATATAACAGGGCATAAGAATACTGTGCTAACCATAGTAGTGTGGCTACATCCCAGCGTGCAGGAACTGTGCTAACTCTAGTAGTGTGACCACATCCCAGGGTTCAGGGACTATACTAACTGTAGTAGTGTGACTGTATCCCAGGGTGCAGGAACTGGGCTAACTTTAGTAGTGTGGCCACATCCCAGGGGCCAGGGACTGTACTAACTGTAGTAGTGTGACCACATCCCAGGATCCAGGGACTGTACTAACTGTAGTAGTGTGACTACATCCCAGGATGCAGGAACTGTACTAACTGTAGTAGTGTGACTACATCCCAGGATGCAGGAACTGTACTAACTTTAGTAGTGTGGCTCTACATCCCAGGGCCCAGGAACTGAGCTAACTTTAGTAGTGTGGCTCTACATCCTAGGGCTTAGGATCTTTGCTAAAAGCTTATCCTATCTCATAAAGCAGGGCTCTATGCAAATGCTACAAATCTCTGCTACTTTGGCTTCAGGAACAGTCAGAGGAGTCTGAGTTCTTGGTTTCTTTGCCAAAAGCCTTTCACTTTGCTGTTAGGAATGTTAAGTATTCACATCTTCTAACTGATCCCCCTGTGCTATGAATCACAGCTTTACTCAAAATAGAGCTCATTACAGTGTCATGGTGTCTGAAGCATTCACCCGGATTATATGGAACTAGTGCTTAATGCCTATCCAGTGAAACATCTTAGGAAGGCACTCCCTTACCTTCCTCTTTAAGATTCAGCATCGCTCAGTGAGTGCTGTCATATAGTCCTAATTTCAAATTAGAAAAGGCAAAACAGCGAAGTTTTGGCAAGACCCAGATCCAACAGTTGATGGTAACCATAGAAAATAAGATGTTTCCACTCAAGTGCATCCAAAATACAAACATCCAAAGCGCCTCTACACCCAATACATGTGTGAAATGCTGGTTTGCTTTTAGGAAAGCCGGTTCAGAGTTCCTAGCTCTACTCCTCCCAAGCTGGTTCTTTCCTCATAAAGGTTAACTGATGTCTGCAGTGCTTAATGGTAATGGTACCCATTATGTTTTCTGAAGAGAAAGAACGCATACTTGGCTTTTAGATGATGCATTTTCCCCAGTGGCTTTCATCTTTACTGTGGTCCCCCTTTAGGTTAAAATAATGATATAGCTGGAGAGGAGACATGAACTGCCTTATTTCACATACAAATAAAAGCCTCTAATGTAATGATTTTCTTATTTGAACCCATTGACCCACACACAGCCTATCTCATGGAGTAGGCTCTTTTGCAAATACAGCTGCCTGGATGTCTAGAAAACACATTCTGGAAGTGAGACAAATCTCTCCCACTAGGAGGCAGCTCAACATTCAAGATGTGAAACCCTGGCTTGGGCTCTCATTGCCTAATAATAGCCCTGGTTTCTAGTTCAGGTGCTTATCTTCAGGGTCTGCTCAACACTGGGGTGAGCTAGAGAAATCCTTCAGGCCTCTGGGGCCTCTAAAGAAAGCACCAATAAAGACAGCCATGGCCAGAGCTGTCCTTCTGCCTGTGTTGTAGATTGAGTTTAATTTCAAAACCATCAAGCCTACTTGGTAATGTACAGTCTGAGGCCCTTCATGCTGTAGAAGCAGAAAGGGGCTGTGACAAGAAACTGAATGGACAATGGAAGCAGAATATCTACTCACTGCCTTCTATAACCACAGGAGCCAGATGAGTCTGCAAGCAATCTGTCATCAATCAATCAATCAACCACTAGTGCTAATCTCTGTTCTGTATCATCTTATTATCCATATTCACATTAAGTATTGCCATTCCCATGTTTAAGGAGTGTATGTTCTCTGGAGTTCCTACCTTTGGAAGGGTTTTCAGGGGCAAGTCATCCCAGAGTAAAGGGCCACCATCATGTACTGAGGGCATCCTGTCACTCTCTGATAGGAGCAGTTTCTCTGTTTGCAATGCCGTGACCTGCAGTCTGTTATCTGTGTGCTTTCACATATATGTAGGTACAAGAACTGAGATTGTCACTCTAACTGGCTTGGGCTATCTCTCATACTCTCAGAAACATGGGGACTGTGGCTGAGGTGAACTCACTGATTGCCTACTATATGAGCAGGTTTTCTACACAGAAATGGATGATACTTGAGTGAAGAAGAATCCAGCCATGTTTTCTGAAGTGAAGTAAGATGGGGACAGGCCATGCAATCCTGAGGTCCTTGTTTCATACAGGTGCAAGCCTTTCTGGTTTGCTTAATTTAGGTACTCTATCTTGCCACATCAAGAGTTCAAGTCTTGGTGGGTAGGAAGCTAGGGTATTATGGTATGGAGATAACGCTTTTGATTAATGGGAGTTTCCTAATTTCCAGTTATCTTGGGTTCTCAGGTATATTATAGAATAGGTTCTCAAAGGAATTGCCTGTACATTTGGTTCATCCAAGGGTGGGGAAGTAGCATGAACAAATATCTGAAGGCCAGGCTATTTCATGATGTGCAGAAGAATATAGGCATCCTCCCTGCTGCCATGGCAACTAAGAGGCCAGGCAGGCTTGGTATTAAGCTGGAAGGTGGAGAAATGGTGTCATACTCTGAGATCTCATGGGTTGATTGCAGCCAGCAGGCAATTTTGGTCATTAATCTTTGATAGTTTCTATGTTAACTGTTGATATTAAAAAAATTTGGGTATCTCATTTAAAAACATCCAGTTTCCCAACATCTCTTGCAAAGTCAAAATCTCTGGATGTACTAGGCTTCATGCCTTTTTTGCAGGGGTCATTTATAATTGAGGGTAGTTTGCTTCAGAGGGAACCAGTGCACTCTGGGTCAACTTATCCCTGACCCTTTCAGCCTTTGGTGGTGTTTGCTTGGCCCCTCAGCCACCTTCATGTGCATAGGCAATTCATGCCAAGGTGGCTTGTTGTCACTGTGGTGGTTGTCTGGCTTTCAATGACCTGCTAAGAATTCATAGCTCACTTCTGCTATATGTGATCTCATCACATTCCATTCCTAGTCACTGCTACTGGGATAGATAGCCCACTTTGGGATAGGTAGACCACATTGGCATGTGGTCACTAAGGCTGCAGAACAATTTGTTATATGAATCTGGAGGACTTTGAAGAATAATGCACTCAGTGCACAGGGGTGATCCTAGAAAGACCAAATGCTAACCTTTCATTGGAACTGTCACTTCTCCTTAGCCATCCTCCTGGGAATGACATCATACTGAAGACAAGAAAAGCATGCTTTTAGGGACATTCTCAGAGGAAGTCATAATACTTAATGGCTTGGAAATAATTGCTTCTAAGATTCTCAGGTTGGGCTTTAGGACCATGTATTTCACTTTAGGTGATACACAGAAGAGGACATACAATGAGAATCAAGAAAGGATGGATGCCTGGGTACCTGTCATACTGTTAGGAGTCATAGGTTAGTAGTCATGCTGGGTCCTCTTCTGCACTGGCATTTCCTACAAAGAGAAAAATAATACACATTACAATTTGCACTTGACTTTTTATTGCGACGGGGTCTTACTATGTAGTACTGGCAGGCCTGGAACTTGCTGTGTAGACACACTCACAAAAATCCTGCTGCCTCTGTCTCCTGAGTGCTAGGATTTGATTTATTTATTAAATATATTTTATTTATTCTTTGACAATTTCCCCACATATCCCAGCCACACATCCCATCCCTCTTCATGTCCCCCCCCTTTTTTTTGTTAGTTTGACATCCAATAACTACATCTAGTGCCTCCTGTTGGCATATTGACTGGTCTTGTGGGCTTGATCATGTATGGTAACCAAAGTGGCGAGTCCATGACTTCAGAAGCCAACAGCTCCCCTCCCCATCCTCCGGCATTTACATTCTTTCTGTCCCCATCTGACTTACTTTGTTGTTATTGTTCTAAACAATACTGTGTTCACTAATGGACTTGGGACAAGATTGCTCACTCTAACTTGAAACTGGGGGTTAGATGCAGAGAAGGTCATATGTATGGCACACACAAGGTAGTAAAACCTTGATTTTCATCTCTGGCTTCAGTCTATAATTGGGCTCTTAAAACTATTGTCAAGGGCACTTTTTTTTCACTGTCCTTTGGTTTGTTTTCAAGAGACCTGCCAGACTGTGGACAGGCTATTTTCCTATGACTGACTAAAATGCTTAAGCATCTCCAAGCCAGAGCGTCTCATGACACATGCTGCAAAGTAGCAGCCTCAGCCTTGATTGACGGTGCCTTCAACAAGACCCTAGATGATTCCTGTCTTAGACTTCTTGTTCTTAAGAACTGATTCCCTCATCTGCCCAAAGCTGCTTTCTGCCCTTCAGCAGTACATTTAGGAGTCCATGAGCAAACGAAAGACTGGTACCCAGACTGGAGGAGAGGCAGTCAGCGACAGAAGCACACAGCTGGTGGGTGTGTGCTGAAGGATGCACACAGTAGCTGACACACACAAGTCAGAGTCCGTGTATTGCTGGGGATATTTTCTGGAAGGACTTCTGTGACCAGTGTAGGACTCTGTTGCTTTTAGCTTTGCTATTAACCACCCCTCAGCCCTGGAACCTGTCATGTTTTCCCACCATGTGACTGGAATGCTCCAGAGGTCGAGGAGGATTATGATTTCAGAGAGTAATGGGGATTGCAGTTCAGTTGAGCAACTAAAGTGCCCCACATCAGTCCATGCTGGTTCAAGGCCTGAAGGGGATAAGAGGCCTCCTCTGGACATTGGGAAAAACAGAAAGGAAAGTGAGAACAAAGGATGTGGGGAGGGGGGAAAGAAGGAGGGAGAGAGAGAGAGAGACAGAGAGAGAGAGAGAGAGGTTTTCCTTTCAGGAGGAAGGTAAAACTGCAACTGTTTGAGAGCAGAGCTGGGGAGGAGGATTAACCCGATAGTCCCAATCCTCATACTTGCTTTCAGTCCTCCTTGGCCCATCCTCATCCCCTCCAGGCCACTCAACTCTTCCTTGGTGACCTTTGGCAAACACACCCTCTTTCCCATGAGCTGATTCAATCACAGCTGTCACCTGACTGACGAATCCCAGCTTATACACAACAATAACACCAGTGTGGCAAAATAGATGGTTTTCCTTTATAATCTCTGGACTGGAGCCACAAATTCCCAGTTGCATTCTTGTGAAACCACCAACTTAGAAGTTTCTTTATCTTCAAAATTCTGACTGAATGGGCATATGAACTACAGAAATAAATGTAATCTGTGAGGCAGAAGTGACTTGGGGCAGGAAAACAATCTTATCAGTATTCTAAAGGGCAACATCATAAGCCTCAGTGCTAACTTCCCTGGCTGGTGCTATTCACTTCTCTTTTCTTCAGCAAGAGTGAGGTTTTGGGCAACATTATCAGCAATACCATGCCACGGTGGCATGGCCATCTCTCCACTGTTAAAGATGTGCTGGTAAACTATTACTCTAATACTTTAATAGTACATAGCATGTAGTATTGTTCATTATCATTGCCCTTCAGTGAGTTCTAGATTTATTTCCCCAGTGTGTGTGTGTGTGTGTGTGGTATGTGTGTATTTGTGGAGGCCTGAGGTTGATAGGGAATCATCTTTGATTATTCTCCTATGTTGTTCATTGAGGCAGAGTCTCTCAATCAAACCCAAGGCTCACTCAACTTGCTACTAGTATTGCTAATCTGTTTAGGGAGCCCATCTCTGTCTTTTGAGGCTGGAATTACAGGGAGGACACCTGGCACTTACTTGGCTACTGGTGATCTGAAGTCACATCCTTAGGCTTGTGCAGGTAGTGCTTGACCACTGAGCCATCTTCCCAGATCCAGGCTCTAAGATTTTAAGTGTGACTTCAGTAATCAGTCTGACAACTTCTCAGGTATCACATGCCCCAGGGACTGACTGAGTTCCACCTACCCTATAACACCCTGGAGGGGGGGCTTCTCCAGAGCTGTGCAGGGGTCCCGGGGCTCAGCAGTTTGTGGGGTCACAAGAGGGAACAACTTGGAGTTAAATCATGCTTACTGATTTGCATGTCTGAAAGGAATGGCAGTGCAGACCTCTGTGAGGGGGAGCAGGGAGGAGGAGGAGCAGGTACTGAGGTGCTAGGCTGGGCAGCCCCGGTGATGAAGGACTAAGGACTGAGATCCACCATTATCCAGAGGAGTTGCTTCTCTACGACAAATGCCCTTTTACCAGTCCCACTGCTCGTGGGTCAAGCAGGAGTTTGCTTCCATATATATATATATATATATATATATATATATATATATATATATACTTTTTTTTTTTAAACTAGACACAGTGGTTCATGTTTGGAATTCCAAGATTCCAAGACAGGAGGTTTTCAATGAGTTTGAGGCCAGCCTGGGCTACATAGTGCATTCTGGGCCAGCATGGGCTCAGTATTATTTCTTTTTATTCAAGGTCTTGCTTTGTAGCTCAATGTTAGCCTTCAACTTGCCATCCTCCTGCCTCAGCCTTCTGAATGCTTGGTATTACAAGAGTGCACCACCATGCCTGGATAGTGGCTAAGAATTTTCACTTGGATCCATGGAAGGCTCATTTGCAAAGAGACAAAAGTCCTTCTGAAGCCTCAAAGCTCAGCCTCAGTGAGGGAGAAATGGCACTCCATTCTGTACCCTCAGTGGGTACCACTGAGCTGGGCAATAGTTCTGCCTGACACTCATCATTCGTCAGCCATTCAAACGGCCCCGATGGCTGCTGACTGTTTAGGCGACATAGAATTTTTCTCAGTGACAACACTCAGTCAGAAGACAGTGATAGTTCCTCTGCTGGGAATGGCAGGAGGCTCAGCCCTACAGGGAACAACAGGCTATCAAAGGACAAAGCTTTCAGATTTCAGCAGTCAATGTTTTTCTTCAAGATAATGTGGCAATGTCTGTGATTGTGGAGAAGCTTCATTTGCTGTGGCTAACCGTTGTTCACAAGAAGGTGAGGGTGTCAAAGTCTCCTTATGCAGCTTAGGCTGGCCTGGAACTTGTGGTAGTCTTTCTGCCTCTGCCTCCTGAGTGCTATGATCATAAGCATGTTTCACTATGACCAAACATCTCTTTCTGGAGCTCATTCGGAGTGTGTGTGTCAGGTGCCAAATGCTATGTAAATGCTCTCCCACTGAGCAAGAACCCCAACCCTCACTTCTAACCTGTATCTCCCTTCTAACCTGTATCTATGTCAAATACTGCCTCCTTCCTTCCCTTTGTTTTCCTGCTCCCTCGCAGGCAATGCCACCATGGCATGTGGGAAAGAACATGCATCCTGCCAGTCCTAACAGAGACAGGAGACACATTTAAATGGTGGGATAAAGTGCCCACTTTGCCACTTATTAGGATAAGTGCCTGTGATGCACCGGGCATCTCCCTTTTCATGGTGGAGGGCTAGCCTGATAGAAAAGCTACCTCTGCTGTGAGAACTAGCTCAATATGTGGGCAGGAGTGGAGCTTTTGTGGTCAGAGCAGGCTTTGAAACAATCTAAGCAAGCAAAGAAGGCAGTTCCTCTAAGGCCACCTGCTACATGAAAAGAATTGTCACACAGAGTGAAACATGGGACCCTTGGCCAAATAACACAGGGGTAGAGATATCAGGGACCAGTTAGTTAAAGTTTCTGAGGTCAATTTGGAAGGGGCAGACTTAGCACCCATGATGCTCCTGGTGCTTTGTCCTCCCAGAGGCCTTTCTTCTAAAAGCCTAGAGACAGGCTCCTCAGGGAGCAGAGAGGTGGGTGGGGAGCAGGGAGGTGGGCGGGGAGCAGGGAGGTGGGCAGGCTACTGACTCAGCAGGAGCAAGGGCTATCACATGCTGCCAGGGAGTTGTGGGTGCTTTGAACTTCCTCTACTGCCACCTAGTGGTCAGCAGGGCACTGTCTCCCTGCCAAGCCAGGAAAAGTTTAATAAACAGTGTGTGCGTGGGCACACGTGTGTGTGTGTGTGTGTGTGTGTGTGTGTGTTGAAGGGGGAGAGTAGAGGGTGGCGGTCTGGGAGCACATTCATCGTTTATCACATTAGGAGGATTAAATAACTCCAGAGGAATGAACGAACCGTGCACTACTGCCAGATGCCTGAGTGTAATTGTGGTTAGGTGACTCACTGAGACACGTGCATGAAAAACAACAAACAAGAATGGAAAACAAAGGACTTGCACAGATGCGGGTGCTTTATTATTGATTTCTACAAAGTGTTTGATGGTGAAGTAGATAACTACAAACAGCCCCACTCCTGCCCCTGCCGCTGGACAGCTTTGAAAAATTAGACTGGAGTACTTGTTAATGGTATAATCTCCACCAGACAAATAAATACAAATTCATTCTTGTACCAGGGATGTGGCATCTACAGGCCTGAATGCAGGATCTGTTGTGCTGGAACTCACAGGTGGCATCTGTAGGTTTTTAACCCAGGGTTAAAAGCAACAGCTTGCTAAGGATGAAACAGCCTTGTTCTGAAAATCCTCCCAAGAGGAAAACACATTTATCCAGTAAATACAG